AGGAGCAGTTGGATATGGTGCTGTCCCTACCCAACTCGCATGTGAATAGTTGACTGTTCTTCGCATTTTATAGCTTTCTGATTGAATCACTTGGAGCTGAAAGGGTTTTGTGGGGATTTGGTTGGTGGGTTTTTTGTTTTTTGTTCAGCTTGATGTCTGTAAAAATGGGTTTTTTAAGTGGGTCTTTGGAGTTCAAGTTATGGAGTTTGTGTGGGTGAAGACGCGGTGTACACACCAGAGTCTTCAACTGATTTGGGATTATCTGGGGTGCGTAATGGATTATTTCTAGTGTTGATTTTCTCTGTGTGGGTGGTTGATTGTAACTCTAATTCGTGATTGTGGGGGATTAATTGGGATTGTGATGGATAGGAGTGAGATGGAGAAAAGCGGGGATGGGTTCATTGATAGGAGTAAAGTTAGGATTTTGCTGTGTGATAATGACGATAAGAGGTCGGAGGAGGTCTTCACACTTCTGTGTAAATGTTCTTATCAAGGTACGATTCTGGTTGTCCTTCGATTGGATTGTTGTCAATTGTTGTTGATTATAGTAATTGTCGACTTGTTGCTTGATCCTTGCGGGAAATGCTAAGGTCCCGTTACGGAACCATTCCCTCGAGGTTTGTAACCGTAGAGATAGTTGATCTAACGGTTACAAACCCTGACGGAATTGTTCCGTAACGGGACCGTAGCATCTACCGATGCTTTATTAGGTATGACCTCATGTTTATATCTGATGTTGAATTTAAGATGAAACACATATTACGAGGTCTGTTTTTCCCTTTTTTTTTTTGGGAATTTTTCCATGATTTAGCTGTGTTAGAGACCCTTTCCGTTCATCTGCTGTGTTGAAGGAGAAGCTGAATTCATGCTTGCAAAACTGTCGAGAATCTTGTGCGCCTTCTGTTTGATTTTCACACAGTAACCAATTGGAAGCCAATGCTAATGCGTCGAGTGACCAATTATTACTTACTTCCTTCAATTAGCTTTAACATTACTGGAATCCTTTACATGAACTTCCTGCATCAAGAAATGATTTCTACCCTTTTCGAAAAAAAAAAAAAATTCGTGGTGAATGTGAATTGCTCGTGTTTTTCAGTGACGTCTGTAAAGTCACCAAGGCAAGTGATTGATGCCCTGAATGCCGAGGGGCCTGACATAGATATTATTCTCTCTGAAGTCGACCTACCAATGTCTAAAGGAATGAAAATGTTAAAATATATTACGAGGGACATAGAGTTGCGTCGCATTCCTGTGATCAGTAAGTATACTTTGGTTCACTTATATTTCTGTACAAGAATTCAGTGTTTTTTATTACACTAAATCGATTTTGGGTATCCTATTATTATTATTATTATATTATTATTAGTTATTTATTTATGTGTGTTGCTTTGCTAGTGATGTCTGCTCAAGATGAGGTAGCTATTGTTGTCAAGTGTCTGAAACTTGGGGCAGCTGATTATCTTGTGAAGCCATTACGTACGAATGAGCTCTTGAATCTATGGACACACATGTGGAGAAGGAGGCGAATGGTATGTGACTTTTTTTCTTTTGTGAGTGTGTAGTGATGCTGTTTCTTTTACATTATCTCACATTTTGTATTTGGCAATTTCGCTCAACAGCTTGGATTAGCAGAGAAGAACGTCATAAATTATGATCTTGATGTGGTTGTCTCGGATCCTAGTGATGCTAATACCAACAGCACTACTTTGTTTTCGGATGACACAGATGACAAGTCCCAATCCCGTCAGGAGAATCAGGTGCGTTTGATCTCTACTCTGTTATGTATACATGTTTAATGATCGGTTAAGTTTCACTGTATATTTCAAGTTTCGACTCGGATATATGATTGAACTGGTAACAGCCATGCAATCCTAGCAGAGACTACCAAATCATTCTCCAAAAGACGAAGGCTTGTTTAGCTATAGTTCCTATTGAGAAACATTTTCATTTTGCTAAGATCAATAGTCACTTTTGTTTTGTTTCATGTGGAAAACAAGCATACATTTGAATCCATGATATGCAATCTCATTATACATGTTGTTAGCAATATCTAACGAAGATCTATTATGCTTTCGGCCGGTTATCTTCAACCAACATGTTTATTCATTTTGTCACTGATATCAGGCTTATAATGCAACCACGAATACTGCTCCAATACAGACTGCGTGTGGGACTCCAGATTATCGCCCCGATGTGCCAAAAGTAATTGACAGGCAGAGAGGTGATATATTTTCTTAAAACGTCGCATTCAAAAACACAGTACACCACCAAAAAAAATTAATTCAGCTGATATATTTTCTTAAAACATAGAATTTCCTAGCCATTTAATGAAATTCTAATCAGTCTCATCGTTACGTGCGTCCAGGACAAAATTGTCCTTTCCCAAAGAAGCGGGAACTCAGGATCGGCGAGTCATCCGCCTTCTTCACGTACGTCAAATCTGCCAAATACAAAAGCCACGGCCCTTCCGCTTTTCACGAGTATTCACCTCAGCATGTCGACACCCAAATACAAAATAACCGAACCCCAGCAGAAAATAATCACCAAACCAACTCCAACTCCAACACCTTTTCCCTAGAGAGATCCTTAACTCCTCCTCCATTATCCATAGACAACAACCTCACAAAACAGCACCAACCGAATAACGAGCTTTCACAATCTCATTTCCTCACAAGAAACGAGTCGCCCAATGACATTTCCAATCACTACCCTCATTCCGGCCCATACCCATACTACATGCCGGGCATGATGAGCCACAAATTAAACCATGCGAGTTCCCCGATGATGCCACCTCAGTATAATGATCACATCGTGCCATCCTACCCTTATTACCAGTTTGGCATATGTTTGCAGCCGGGCCCACCTCATCATCATCCTCACCACCAGCAGTGGCCACCGTCCGGCGAAGGAGGGGGGAAGGCGGCGAAAGTCGACCAGAGGGAGGCGGCGCTGATGAAGTTCAGGCAGAAAAGGAAAGAGAGGTGCTTTGATAAAAAGATACGGTATGTGAATCGGAAAAAGCTCGCCGAGCGTAGGCCCCGCCTGAAGGGGCAGTTCATGAGGAAGGCTAACGGGGTGAGTGTGGACCTGAACGGGCTTCCGGGCTCGTCCGAGGATGAAGAGGAAGATTATGACGAGGACGATCAATTGTAGATGTTGATATTTTTTCTACCCGAGGATGAAGAGTGATGCATTTTTTTAATATATTGAATCAGGAATGCTAAAGAGCCAACAACCAATTATACACAGCTCCATGTGGGGCTGTCCCACATGAAAGTCATGTGGGACAGCCCCACATGGAGTTGTCCCATTGGCTGTTGGCTCCGTTAGAGAGCCAACAGTTGGCTCCCTAGCATTACTATATATTGAAGGTATCTATTTACTTTCGTGCTCGTCTTCTTTCTGCTTCTTTTATTTTCTAGAATTTATAATCTGGATTTTTAATGTTTAATAATTAGAGTAAAATTAAATATTAGAAACAACAAGCCTTCTGATGATCTGCTGAAGATTCTGATTTATTGAGGGTCTTCCTTGTTTTTATTCTCATGAGATCTCTATTATTTCTGTCATTGCCCATGTGAGAGAGATTGTGAGGGGCTGTTCTCATTTAAAAATATTAATGTATTTTATCTTGCTGATTATCATTTAGATCTTCTAACATTGTTTATGAATATATGCTATGAATGTCTTGTTCATTAGTACTGGTTAGATCTTTTGAGCCATTGATCATTGATAACGCAAATACTTAGGTGCGTCCATGAACATGATGTAACAGGGCGCACGGTAGTAGCACTGCATTAATAATGCAATATGAAAAAGAAAAAATAGTACTATATTAGACTATGAATATATAAATTCTTGAGAACAAATGCAGCGGGATAATGAAAATTGCTTCTCTAGAAAATGAAAATTGCTTCTCTAACATCTGTTTGTTTTCTTGTCATATCTTGGCCACTCCAAAATAATAAGCACATTTAATTAGTACTCCCTAATCATAATCCTAGAAACTCAATCTATTATTAATTATCCATAAAGAGGAGAATAAGAACCACAAACACTCACTTACAACACAATAACAAAAAACTAACTACGAACAACTCAATAGTTAACTAAAGCTCTCCTCGGCGACCAGCAAGCTACTTCGCAAATTGAAACCACGACGTTGACCCCCGAGGGCAACCACCCACATGGACAGAGACCCAGTCCAAGGCGCCGAACCAGAAGCTGCAGTATTACTACGCCTAACTAGACCAGAACCCCTAAACCCGATCCCTCTCCTAGGTAGATGACCCCCGAACTAGACCGACTGACAGCTAAAGGCTAACGACCCACCGAAGCCATTGACCCACGCCCATCGACGAGACCCACCGCCCAACCCCAGAGACGAAACTCCAACCCTTTCGCCTACCGACAACCAAAGGTCGAAAAACCATCGGAGCCACGACCCCCCACTCACCTGCAAAGCCCACCGCCCAACGTCAGCGAAGATAGGAAAACAAGGGAAGTGAAGAAGCTAACTTCGACTACATTAAGGCAGTAATCGAAACAAGCCGCCCAACCACGCCACCGAACGCCGAAACTACCCTCGAGAAATGCAAAGTCAACCTGCTACACAGTAACACAACAATGAGATACTACCCGGCCGAGAGAGCCTCGACTCAACGGGAGTGCGGGAGCACGACCCGAGACGAACTCTCTTGCTAGGTTTACCGTTCAAATTGAGGAAAACGGGGAAGGGTTTGAAAAAGGATCTTTCCCTTTAGTTGGTGCTATGGTTAAAAATTGTAAGTATTGGTCTTTTGCCTTCAAACCCACATGCTCTACTAATTCAACTACTGTAAATTTTGAACAAAATATTTGTATTTCAGAAGTGTTAACGAACTTTAATCTAAATCACTGTCAAAAGTTGTAAAATTTTCAAAAGATCGAAGTTAAATTAACCAACAAAAAAAAGGAAGAAAAAAAAAAATAGAAGTTGCTTGAACATCAATATTTTGGTCGATTTTGAATTACTAAATAGTTGTTTAAAATTAAAAAAAAAACGAGAGTAAAAAGGTAAATAAAATTAGAAAAAATAAATTAAAACTTAAAAATGATAGAAACGCAATTGGACATGAATTTTTTAATCTCTAAGTAGGATGAAATTGTTAAAAAAAATTATACTAAAAATTTGAGATAAATTTTAAGTTGTAAATGAATACGAGGATAAAAAAAAAATATATAATAACTAAAAATTAGTGTGGTATGAAATTAACAAAATATTAATTAATACAATTAGTAAAAAAATATGTGAATAAATGAATAATATTTTTTCATTAAAACATATATAATAATAATAATAATAATTACTTTTTATGATAATCGTGAAAAAATATTTAATTAGTTTCAATGAAAAACTCTTGCTTAACAAAAATAAATAAAATTTTTCTATTAATAAAAATTCAAATCCAAGTACAGAGTAGTAAACACCGAAATTTCGAGGTCAAATAAAAGCAGAAAGCACAACAGCCGCGTTAATGGCGTCGCTGTCTTCTCTCTTTCACCTTCCCATTTATTTAAATTATTTTTCCCAGCTTCTCACACTTCGCACACACCTTCACCATTAAACAATTCCACAGAAAAGGACAAAGACCAATTTTTTAACAGCTAAAGTTGAAGAAAAATGGCAGTCGGTGCGTGTTGAGTTCACCTTTCTTCCTCTCGCCCACACTTGAACAATTATTCTCTGTGAAAATCAATTCAGTGAAACTGTGCTGAGCCCATTAGTGGTAACTTTACCCAGCTGGAAACAAACACTGAACTGAAAGTCTGAAGCCCTTTTTCTAGCTTTCTCGCAAAGACCCGTATTCAGCGGCCGATGAGCTCGGAAAGCTCGGCCTCCGCTCAGAAGCGGAACTCCGGCCATTCTCCGACCGCCGCCGCTGCAGACGGCGGCACAGTCGGCCGCGCCGCCTCCATCCTCCCCCGCGGGCGGCAGATCCAGAAGACCTTCAACAGCATCAAGATCACCATCCTATGCGGCTTCGTCACCATCCTCGTCCTCCGCGGCACCATCGGTCTCGGCGGCATCTCCTCCTCCGAGGCTGAGGCCGAGACCCAGCACCTCATCGCAGAGACGAACCGGGTCCTCGACGAGATCCGATCCGACAAGGACCCGGCCGACCCGGACGGCCAACCCGACGACCTCCCCGTCCCTAACGCCTCCTACAGCCTTGGCCCGAAGATCAGCTCGTGGGACGACGATCGCAAGGTATGGCTCGAGAAAAACCCCCAATTCCCAAATTACGTCAACGGCAAACCTAGAATCATGCTGGTGACGGGCTCCCGGCCCGGCCCGTGCGACAACGCGATTGGAGATCATTATTTGCTGAAGGCCGTGAAGAACAAGATCGATTACTGCAGGATCCATGGGATTGAGATTGTTTACAACATGGCCCAAATGGATAAGGAGATGGCCGGTTACTGGGCCAAGCTGCCCTTGATACGCCGTATGATGCTATCTCACCCTGAATTCGAGTGGATATGGTGGATGGACAGTGATGCCTTGATTACTGATATGGTGTTTGAGATACCATCTGAGAGGTATAAGGACTACAATCTGGTCATCCACGGATATCCCGATTTGCTCTTCGATCAGAAGTCATGGATTGCTTTGAGCACGGGCAGCTTCTTGATCCGCAACTGCCAGTGGTCGTTGGATTTGCTGGACGTTTGGGCTCCTATGGGGCCCAAGGGCCCGATCCGGGATGAGGCGGGTAAGATCCTGACAGCTTATCTGAAGGGCCGGGCTGCATTGGAGGCAGACGATCAATCTGCCTTGATATACCTGCTGCTTTCTCAAAAAGACAGGTGGATTAACAAGGTTTTTATCGAGAACACGTTTTATCTGCACGGGTATTGGGAAGGTGTGGTTGACCATTATGAGGACATGATGGGAAAGTACCATCCCGGCTTGGGTGACGACAGGTGGCCGTTTGTGACCCATTTTGTCGGTTGCAAGCCGTGTGGGAGTTACGGAGATTATCCGGTTGAGAGGTGTTTGAAGAGTATGGAGAGGGCTTTCAACTTTGCGGATAATCAAGTTTTGAACTTGTATGGATTTAGGCATAGGGGTTTGGTCAGCCCTAATATAAAGAGGATTAGGAATGATACTGATATGCCTTTGGTGAATGTGGACAAGTTTGATATTCGGCACCAAATTAATGGATCTAAGAGCTAGCTCGTTGGATTTTTCGCGTGTGAACAACCCTATGCTAGTAAGTTACTATTTGGATTATTGTTTGATTTGAAGTTCAGTCTTTCTGTTAAATACCATATTTGGTTATATATTTAGCATTTAAGACAATATGAAGGTGGTGTTTTTGGTAATGGCAACAAACTAAATGCTTGCAATAGTCATTAGTTTATCAAAGAGAAAAGTTTTGCTGTCATAGTGTACTCTTGTGAAAAAATTGTGAATTGGTAGCTTAAGTGCATTCCTTTTATGATTGCCTCAATATATCCAAGCAGTTTCAACATAAGGCTAAGAACTGATCCTCCTAGCTATAACACTCCTAGGGACGAAGAACGACGGTTAATAAAACAATAAAAAGTTGGAAAGTCCATGTTCATATCAGATTTAGATTGTTAAAAAAAAAAAAAAAATAGTAATTGTTATATTTTCTATTTACAAATTGTTTCCATGCTTTTTGTGTTACCTAGTTGACGACAGTTTCCATGTAAACCAGTTACAGATACGACTACTTAGAGCCTGTGCACTTCCGTTTTCATTTTCTACCTCAAGCGTTCCTATTATTAGTGCACGTTAGATGCAGGTGGTATTTACTCATTAACAAGTAACAACTACTTTTTGTTTCGAGTATTTATTCATTCCCAGACAAAAACAACACCTTTCTTTTGTTTCCATGTATAGTCTTCATTTTGAACCTTCATACAATCTGTTTCCCAGGTTTACTGTTTCGACTTCTGAGGCCTAAGCTAGCATAACTTGCATACTAACTTCATATCATGTGTTAATTCCTGCAGTTTAAGGCTTCCGTTCGGAAAGGCTGGATCAAAGGTATTCATTCCGTTCATAGTTACACAAACGAACTCCGGGTTGAAAGTGTTCTTGTTCAACGTTTTGTAAAAAACCAGGGAACAAAAAGAATGCCTGAACCTTTTCTCTCTCTTTTTTTTTTTATATTTTTTCTGGTATTTTAAAGTAGATTAAATTTAATCTTTGATTCATTTAGGAATATAGTTTGAACTTTAAGCTAAGATGGTCTTGAGATTCTAGATGAGGTTTGCACTGGGAGAGTGTAGAATGAATGTGACCAAAATGTACTATTTAAGATTGTGTAATGTGTGGTATAAAAGAGATGCTTTTGATAATTGACAGAAGTAACTTCGAAATACTGTATTTTCATTGATTTTCTCTTGGCTAAGAAGTTCCATTTTCTGTTGCATCATATAGTAGTATCACTATCAAGCCGTTGCTTGTTCCCCTAATGCCATAACATGTTTGAATACATATACCTTCGATTACACATTCATGTGTAATCTTTCTTCCAAGTCGGTCTAAAGAATTTACACATTTTTCCGAGTCGGTCTAAAGGTTATGCGTGTCTAACCAAATCATAATTTCAACATAAATGTATATAGACGTACACTAGTTGGCCGGTGGTTGTGCGTGTACAGCCGGCTCTAGTTCAGTCTATAATTATCACTAATATTTGGGAAAAATTTTGTTACACACGTACACACATTTTTGCATATATGTAAGGGAGAGATATTTATGCGTGGCCAACCGAATCGTACTTTCAACATAAATGTATATAGACATACATACACACGTCTCCGTGTGTGTTTAATTTGATATGGTATGAGTCGATTCTGTGGGCCATAGTGCCAAATTGATCCCGGCAAACCTGCCGAGAAACCTCGATTCTTCGCAGCTTGCAACTCTATTTCAACTACTTCTGCCCCATTGTTTAAAACCCCGATCTCATTGAAAGATGGCAGAGCCTATAGGCCCTCATTAAGAAACCTGGAGACTTTTGATCAGATTTTTTAACTTAAAATCACTTAAAATAAAACTCAAACTAAACTCAATCAAACTTTCCTTGATATACATAATTAAATAATATTCATTAATCATCTTCACTCATTACATCAACTCGTATAATTTTATCACTCATCACTTTCAATCACATCTCTCGTATAATTTTATCACTCATCACTTTCAATCACATCTCTCTTACTTTTAAATCAAATCATCTTTAATCGTAATATTTGAAATATTATTCAATCACAAACTGGAAATCCACCCTAACTCAATCTACTTTTCAAAAGTAACATTATATATCCAACAAATTCAAAATAACTTGTATCCAATATCCCTCATAAGAACTTTACCCCAACCGTAAACAGTATAAACTTTACCCCAACCGTAAAAAGTATCGATCGGAGCAATTATCTATGTAATTACGTTGTTGACTTGGTCGGTCAAGCACTCTCTTTTCACAGACGAAAACTAAGCGCAACTGTATTCCCTCTAGCAGTTCCGAGGGAAGGATTAAGGTCCAATGTGCTCGATCAACTACTATGAGTCATATATGGTTTATTTACTCCAACTCTATGCACCACTATGCATCATTTTATATCAAAGGGGTTTTGTTATCATTAGTACCCTACACACACTTTATGACAACATATCTTTCAAGAATCTAATTCTAAACAATTCCTTAGAAAAAGAGCATCTTTACTCCACAAAACAAATAAATTGTTATCTTCTTCATTTTTCTTGATTTGTTCTCGGATTGTATCGGCTTATGCCTTGTGTACATTGTTTAGTCTTGATATATATAAATTCTGTCGTTTCGAAAAAAAAAAAAAAATACTTAAATTCAAGTATAACAGCAGCTCACATCATCGTGTAGATTTGGCTCAACGGGTGGAGCCATTTGGAACTTTGTTATGAAGTGCAAGCAGAATTTGATTCATCCGTGATATTTGATCCAACAGCTGGTTGATTTTCTGAAGGGTAAAACAAAATGAACAGAAGCATAAATCAGTTTCAGTTCTTAGGCATTTTCGCAAACAGCTGGTGAACGACAAAAAACTGAAGCTCACCTCATCTTTCTCCTTGATTATGCCGACGAGCCGTAAACTGTTTTTAACCGTCCTCCGCCGCCGGAAGTACAGGAACGCAAACAGGACGGCCGCCAAGGCGGCGGAGCGAAAAGCCAACAGTGTCCCTAGCGAGGAACCAAGCAAGTTGGTCCAGATTATCCGCACAATGCTGTTACCCTTGGCACGTAGCATCTCCGACAACGAATCGATCCAGCGTCCGGGGGAAACGGCTGCCGGGGCCGGCACGAGATCTGAGAAATCCGGCGAAGGTGAAGGCGAGGATGGGCTCGAATACGATGGCGAGAATTCCGACGACGAGGAGCTCGAATCGGAATCTGAGTGCGAATCCGAATCCGAAACTGATGGCTGCCGGAAATCGGCGGTGATTTGGGGGATTTTATGAGAAATCGGAGATTTTTCTGTGTGAATTTGAAGGTTTTCGTGGTTGATGGGCGGGAAGATGATCGGGGTATAGCTGCCGCCGACGTCATTGTCGTCCTGGTGGTTTCTGATGGATACCATAGGCCAGGGGACCTTTTGCGGCGGGGAAGTCGCGGCGTCGAACGGAAGGCAGTGGATCTCGTCTATTAATTCCCGTAGCAACGGTAGAGGCGGCGGCGGATCCGCCGTTTTTCCTTCTTCAGGTACGGCGGTGTAATCCATTAACCGGCGTCGAGTTGGAGTGAGGACTCGGGACCCATGATTGGTCGATGATTTCAACAGATTATATCTGGTGCGTAGGTGGGCTTCAAACCTTGTTCTATAAATGGGCTTACGAATATGGGCCCAATTTGCCCAATGATTAAGGGTGTAATTGTATATGAGTTCAATAGTAAAAAACTCAATTCAAACTCAAATTTAAGTCAACTTTAACTCAATCTCAATATTATCAATATAATTAATATAATTAATATAATTAAATCATATTAATCAATCATTATTATACACCACATCAACTTTCATTCATTATTCATCCACTCACATAATTCTAACTAACTATCACTTCAAACTATTTTTTTCCTACTTTACATCAAATCAACTTTAATTATTTTATTTAAATATTATTTTAATATATCAACTAACATCTAACCATATCACTTTTCTTCAAAATTAACTATAGCTAAAAATAAACCAAATAAAAACTAATCCAATCCATAAACAATCACCCCCTAATCAATTTTAGGAACTTATATTGGGTGTTTAGACTTAGGAGGTTTTTTGTTTTTTTAGAAAAATGTTGAGGTTCTTTTGTTTGCGGAATTATAGAGGGATCGGTCGCTCAGGGCTGTAAACGATTCCAACGTTCGCATACAAAAGTTCATTCGAATTTGTTCGTGTCAACAAAAATCCGTTCGTTTGTTAATTGAGCCGAGCTTGAACAGAAAATTATGCTCTTTTAATAATTGAACGAACACGAACTCATTCGCGAACGTTCGATAATGTTCGCAAACATTAATTTCATATAATTTATTTTTAATTTTTATACAGTATAAATAAAAAATCTAAAATATAAAAATATTTTTATTTTATTTTTTATTTTAAGTTCGAACGAACAAATTTCGTGTTTAATCAGACATATTTTTTTTTAAAAAAAGTTGTCCTCAATTATTCGAAAAATGAATGAACTCGAAACATGACGGACAATTAAACGAAGAAGTTCGAACACAATTTTTTGCTCGATTGTAGACGAACACGAGCTCGAACAGCCCAAGCTCGACTCGTTCAGTTCGATTACAACACTACTCAGACTTAAGTCGAACATGGTTGGTCCTATTTTCAGTATTACTAGTATTTTTAATTCCATGCACATGTACGAATGTTTAAATTATTACGAGTTGTATGTCTGAGTATAATATTAAAATTATAAGTTATATAATTATACACATTTTAACACGTTGTCATTAGTAAAATACATTATAAGAGTATTCAACTTTATCCCTATTTTGATTATATAAATGAAACGAATAATGTAGTTTTTATAAATTTGAAGGCTACTGCTGATTAATTATCTTAAAAATTATTATTATTATTATTATTATTATTATTATTATTATTATTATTATTATTATTATTATTATTATTATTATTATTATTATTATTATTATTATTATTGTAATTGGTGTTGTTGTTGTTTTGTTGTTCTTATTATCATTATTTATGCAATTTTATGAGGTATGGTTATTACCTTACTAAAAAATATTTAATGGTATATATTCACAATAAATAGTTTAAGAAAAAAATTGTAATATAAATTTTTTTATACTTATTGAACTTCCATATATCATTTAATTGGTTGATTTTAATAATAACTTATGTAATAGAATAACTAAAAATATGATATACGTTAATTAACTATTATGTTAAAGATATGATTAATTAGATTTTAGTTACATGTTTTGTAAAAAAAAAAAAAA